AACACATAATTGACAATAAACTAACAATACGGATATATATCACTAAGCTACAATTTATAATGGTTATAAAACTTATATAAATAATGTTAAATAAATTATTAATTCTCATATAATTATTATTATTATATATTAAAAATATCCCATACTTACAAATTTTTATATAATATAATTTAAAAATCTAAGGAAATGTTGTTCAACTCGTGTAATTTAAAAATGAATTTCGAAAGAATTTGAAGTTTGAATTGAATCGTAAATTGTAAGATTTAATTAAATCGTAATATTTGAATCAATTAAACTCATGTGTTTTCAATTCAAAAACAACATTTAAAGATTTGATCGATTAAGCTCAACTCATTTCAATTCGTAGACAATATTCAAATATTTGAATCGGTTAAACTCAATAATTTACAATAGCGTATTAATCAATATGTGTATAGTTAAAGTTTAGTAACCTTTTTTTATTGAATTTTATCATAAAAAATAATAAAATTTAATTCATAAAAATCGTAAGATTTAATCGGTTCATGGTTAGATTAAATCTTACGATTTACGATCTAATTCTGACGATTTTACGAATTAAATTATTATTTTGTTGTTAAAATTGAATTAAAAGGATAGTAGACTTTAATTATAAATAGTTAACTCGATTAATACGTTCTTGTTAGTGGTTGAACTTAATCGATTCAAATTTTTGAATAATATTTACAAATTAAAAGGATTTGCGCTTAATTGATTCAAATCATACGCTTTAATTAATCTTATGATTTGATTCTTGCGTAATTTAGGAATTATTTTTTTATGATAAAATTGAATTAAACATGTATCACACTTTAATTAATAATAGTTAATTTGATTAAGACGTTCTTGTCAATAGTTGAGCGCGCTAATGAATCGATTCAAATATTTGAATAATGTTTACGAATTGAAAGGACTTGAGCTTAATTGGTTCAAATATTACGCTGATAAAATATTATGATTTACGATTAGGTTCTTACATGTGTTAGGAATTAAATTTATTATTTTTTATGACAAAATTGAATTAAAAAAATATTAGACCTTACTTATAAATAGTTAAATCAATTATGTAACATGTTATGTCAATAGTTAAGCAACCGATTCAAATATTTGAATAATGTTTACTAATTGAAAGGATTTGTACTTCATCGATTCAAATCTTACTAATTGATTAAATTAAATATTAAAAGAAAATTCACAATATAGTATTTGTAGTATATAATTTTATTTTAAACTAAGAAAACGACTAATTGGAATGAGTTATAATTTTTTCTTTTTCTAAATAAATATATTCTTTGTTTTTTTATTTGGATTTGTCACACTATCGATTAAATAACATAAATGAGTTTGAATTAAGTTATGCATTTTTTTATATTTAAAGCATTCTTTACATTTTTAAATGGTGGAGTTTATTAATACTTCTAATATTATATAATTAATGATAGATGTTTGGCCTACTGAACTGCAATTCTTTATAGTTTTCAAACTTTATTTTGTTAAATTTGTTAATAATTTATTTAATACCATTTAAAAATAATGAATGTTGCAATTAATATTTGAATTAACAGTATTTATACAATTATGGTTAAATATATCGTAATAAGTTAATATGCTTGGATGGTTAGGAGTGATAAATGTATTAAGAGGTCACGAGTTCTATTCCTAATGAATGCATTTTTTTCGATTATTTATCAAATAAAACTCGGTCACAATGAATTTAAATTAATTATTTAATTAAAATATAGTAGGGGGTAAATTAGACAATTCAATGTTAATCAATTATATATTAATTTAATAAAAAAATAATCGAAGGATAATTTGATAAAGTACTTCATTTTTAGAACATAAATCATGTTATTTTCCTAGGGTCCAGATTTAATCTTAGAAAATTAATGGTGATTAATACATATCTCAAATAAGTTTAGAACATGGGGTATCTCACCCTAGAAAGACCCTAAAAAAATATATATGTTAACAAATATATAAATTGAATTACAGAAAAATGAAAAACATGTTTTTTTTTTTTTTTAATTTTCAATATTATGTAGATAATTTTTTTAATAGAATAACTTAAGTGAAGAAATACAAAAAGAGAAAAGAAAAAGACAAACGTATTTTGAAAAACAAATTAGAAAGTGTTAGATTGAAAAATGAATATATTAAATGCAGACTAAAAATATGATAAACGCAATATAAATTTTACTTAATGTAGATTTCAAATTTGTGAGTAAAGGACATTTTTGGAATGAATTTTATGAAGGATGTGTGTCAAAGGTTTAGTTGGACTTGTCATTTAGTTCTAATAATTTTTGCCACTAGAGACCTATATCTTAAGCTCTAAAAAAATAAAAGATATCTTATATATAAAAGAAAGAAACGCTGGGCAACCCTAAAAAACCATAATGGTATTTATGTAATTATTTATTTTTAATGTTTTTTCTCTACTAATTTCTTACTACCCTAATGGTATTTCTGTAATTATTTATTTTTAATATTTTTTCTCTACTAATTTCTAACTATAATTTTTAATAATTATCAAAATTAAAATTAACCCATGAAGAATCCTACCTTATTGCTACTTATGTAATTATTTATTTTTTAATATTTTTTATGTACTAATTTTTAATTATAATTTTCAACAATTATTGGTCTCCTAATTTTCATCAATATATCTCAAATCTTAAAAGATAAAGCTAGAAAATCAATATGAATTATACTACATTATTAAATTTTACTATATTAGTGTACTATATTTTCTTATAATTTTAATATTTAAATAATATCATGTGCATCGCTCGGGGGAAAAAATGCTAGTATATCATAACGCCAGGGGCGCCAGCCATGCCCCAACATTTTTCAAATCTCTACTTCCATAGAAAATTATGAAAGTTGGATCATTCTATTTGAGATCCATATATCTGTATTGAAATCACAATTCAAATATTGCATACTGAAAATGCATCTAGAAAACACCAATTAAAGTTTTTTTTTTCGTTTTCAAGACACAATAAATATTTGGTGGTATGTGTCTGGAACACATGCATAAGTAAAAGTAACATACAAATATAGTTACATATGAAGAAAAAGAAAGATAAATATTTGATTATCTCTATAATTTGTTCTTTTTAATGTTGACTTTGTTGTTTTGAAAACAATAAGTAAAATATTTGATATTGACATATATCTCGTTACGATACATATAATTGAAAAATTATATGAGACAATATTCTCTAATTTATGTGACTTGGAATAATGCATCAATATTTTAGATCCATATTATATTCAAGAAGTAGAAACATAAAAACTAAAGTTGAATTCGTTAGTAGAAAAATCAATAAATTTGACAGTACATCGTATTACTAGCTGTGAGCTAAAATTGAAATATTATGAAACTACTTCAACATTTCTTATTCCTTGAAGTGAATATAACAATATTCAATAATTGAAGAGAATATTTTGGAGAAATTGATATGATGGTGTTTTATGTTTATCACATTATAAATTGGTCAAAATATCCATTTTACGATAAATTATTTTGACTAAAATTTATGAAGCATCAATTGAAAAGAAAAGGGAATTTCTTCGCATTTTGCCATTACGAATTTATAGTTTACTCCTTCAACTTTTCAACATTTTCATTTTAGACCCCTGTGTTTGAAATTTACATTTGTTTTCCAGAATTAGCAGCCCATTTCTTTTACCATTTGAAATCATGAATATGTTTCAGCATTTTTAGTTGTCAATGAATTTTTAAACTTGCAGCTTTGTGACTCGAGTTTTAACATTAATTTACAATTTGATCCTTAAAGTTTCAAAATTTAAATTTGATCATACTATTTTTAGAATCTGTTCAAGAATATTAGATTCTCAAATAAAGTTATTTTTCATTAGATGGCATGCTATTTTTTGTTACGAGAAGATGCTCAATTTCACGAACTTGTCGAAATTGACGATAATCTTCACTCTGATGATTCCGACAAGTCCGAGAATGATTGTTGCAATACTACTAGTGTAATAAGAGAATTTAATGGCTGTATTAAAAATATTGGGATTAATTACGAAGAAAAATCGCTCGAGGGTTTGCGCGTACTTCTTGCCGAAGACACTCCTGTGCAACAAAGAGTCGCGAAAGTAATGCTCGAGAAATTGGGAGCGGAAGTAGTTGTTGTAGGAGATAGGATTCAAGCAGTTGAAGCTCTTCATTGTGACGGAAAATACGACTTGATTTTGATGGATTTTCATGTAAGTTAATTAATCATTGATCTATTACGAGTCGATTTAATTGATGAATGTGTGATTTTAATTAATGTGCAGATGCCGAAAATACATTTTTGCACAAAACAAGTACAAAGTATAAGAACATTTCACGAAGCCTAAAAAATTATGTTGAATTTGACATCATAAGAGTGGATGTGTAAGAAGATTCAGAGTTCAAGGAGTGATTGTAATTATCCAAATATGAGAAGTTTTTTTTGTAATTTAACCTTAATTACCTCAGAGGTGGCCGTAATTTACCCTAATTTTTTTTCTCTCTCTACATATATTATTGGTACGTAGTAAATAAAATGTCTTGTAATTCTTCTAATTATTACTCGATCAACCCTTCATCTCTTCATTTAGTAAATATATAAATAACTTAAAAGTAATTCGTATTCAAACTCATGAATAATTAGATGGAAATATCAACATGTATAAACTAGAAGCAAGAACAAACATCAATGGAAATAAAATCAATATTCAATTGAATTTCAAGAAACTCCGTACATACATATAATATTCGAATATTCAATTAACTAAGAGAAGAATAAAATTTACACAAAATATCCCCTTAATTAATTCTTCCAACTCATCCTTAATTCTATAAGTAGTACTAGTAGTTCATGACAATTCTTCTTCGATCCTTTCTCTCTCTAACTTTATCCTTTTATTTTCAAAATCTTTTCTTTCTTCATTAGAACTAACTACAACAAAACAACAGAGAGGAATTAACGAATCTCCCCTTCTTCCAACTCATCCTCGATAACAAGCTGTGCACGATATCCTTGTTCTTCATCTTCGTGATAATAATAATCATCGTCCTCCTTTAGATAGAGGCCGAGTTTCTCGAGAGGGTTTACAACCACACAATTACTAGCAGCAGTAACTTTTCCATAAAATAGATCGTATGCCGAATCGCCGCACAAACTCTCCAACTCTTTCAACAGATGGGCGCTATCGTCATTTATACTAAGTACTAACGCTTTTTTCCATCTGTTCAAGAGCCATCCTCTCAATCTTGCGTCTCGTCTTCAAATCTTCTTTTTGTGCAGCTCTATATTCTTCTTCGATTCTTTCTCTCTCTTTTACCCTTTCCTCTTCCGACTCAAATCGTCTTTCTTCGGTTGAACCCTTGTGCTGCTGCAGTTCATACTTGGCTTTCAAGATTGTTTCTGCAAACCGACTTTTCAGCGTCGCAGCTCTCAAAGAGATCTTCAGAGACATTTCTTCGACGTTCGATGCAGACATAATAATCGAAGCAGCAGCGGAATCTTTTTGTTTTTGTTTTCCGACACAATCATCAACGGAATCTTTTTTCCGTTTTTGGACATTAGCAACAGAAGCACAGGAGGCCGCAGGGGTGGAATTGTCTTTCGAACCAGCCCCCACCGTACGTGCATGTTGAATACAAAAACCCTGACCACTAGACGACAAATCTTTTTTCGATCTCTTTCGAACACACTGAGTATGATCCGAATCTTTCTTTCTTTTTCGATCGGCCTCGAATTTTTTCCATCTCTTATAGAAAAGGGAATCCAACTGCTTTGCCAAGTGATGAACTCGGTTCCAACCGGGATTATACAAGATCGCATTGGCGAAAGTCAATTTCACATCATCGAAAAACTCGTCGGCACAAGAGTAAATATCGAGTTTACCCTTTACGGTTCCAAGATCCATGGGTTTGGAAACAATGGAGAAATAATCGGGAATTTGTAACTTCACAGGATCAACAGGCTCGCTGAAAACCCATCCAGCAGGGTGATTCATTAATTCTTTTAAAATATTACCGCACTCAACTTTCATTATCGGATCCAACTTCCGATTTTTCGCAACTCGTGCAGAAACGTTAGTCCTCGTATTTTCACGCATCCTTTTCCTCGTATGCGACAACATTATCTTTGTCCGAAACAATCAACGAGCAGCGTATGTTGAATATATGAGATTATAACGTAACCTGAGAGTTGAGAGAGATTAGAAAGAAAAATAAGGAAAATTCTTGTTTATGACAAGACTATCTATATATATATTACTAGGGTTTAAAATATTTAAGGAAATAACTTATTACACAAGGAATTATTAAAGAAGATGAGGAGTTGTTTTAGGGTTTTCATACAACTATTTTCTTTCTCTCTCCGCTCTATTTGGTAGTTATTTCTTTCATAATTGTTTCTTATTTAACATGTATAATTTTTTAAATATTAAATTAAAATATTGACTGAGTAAATATTTATATTAAAAATTGTAATTCTACATTAACATTAATGATACATGTTAATGTTTTATTGTATTTATTTGTAACATCAAAATTTAATTAACTTGCCTTTTCATTTAGGATTAACTATACGTAATTTGATTTTACAAATAAATAGTATTTTTAATGTGCATGTTTGATGAGTTAAATAATTGCATCTAATATATGAAAAATTATACTATCTAAATATTTAACTAGTAAATTATTTTTAATCCAAAAAAAAAATATACTATCTTAAATATTTATTTAATTTATTAGAGTACATGTAATATTTTTTAAATAAAAAAATGTGTCATTTAGTAAAGATTATTAAAGATATATTAAATTTATTTTACTATAAACAACGTTAAGAGTCAAATAGATTAACCATTAAATTGAGGGGTAAGTGTATTTTTCATAGTACGAGGGGTCAATGTTACCCATGGCATATTACAAGGGGTAAAGTATATTTCACCCTAATAACAATTGAAAATATATACATGTTAAAATAAGAAACTATTTTGGAAAGAGTTTAAAAGTTGTTTTCACCGATAAATATTCTAGAATCTAGCTCATATTTTTTAGGAGAGTTTTAACAGACTTTTTTCAACAACTAGATATTTTAGATCTCCATAATCCATTTAATGAAATGAATGATACAAATAGATGGAAAATATTTGTCTTTTAACAAATAACTCATTTTGACATAATACTAATTCATACATTTTAGTTGTTAATTTATATTAGATATAGTTTTAAAATAAAGATGAGAATTTTTCTCTCCTTTTTACCGTTATGTTTCTATATGGTAATTTTTTTATTAATTTTTTTTATGAAAATTACCGTTGTCATATTCCCTTATTATTATTTTTGAATGATGGATAGGCTTGTTCTAAAGAGAAATTCTCTCATGTTTAAATTTACTATGTTCACTTCAAGTATTTTTATTTTAAATTTACTATTTTTTTTTAATCAAGATTGTAAAAGATGGGAACCGGGTCCGAAGTGCTTAGGCACCGCGTTACGATTAGTACGGCGGTGATCAATCGGCAATAAATTGGAAATAATTTGGTTTTTTAACTTTAATGTAATATAATTTTAGATACTATTTGTAAACACTCAAAACATATTTAAAAATATATTTAAACACGATTTTATCCCCATCATTTATATATCATACCACATAGTAAAATTTTAATAATAAGATCATAATATAATAAAAATTCTTAAACAATAAAAATAAAACGAAAATCTTCTGCATTCAAAATTATGCTTGAACATTGCAAGCATATATCATTAGGTCCTTCAAAAATAAAAATTAACACAAACAATATAAGACAGCATAAAATCAGTTTTGATTAAAAACCCTTCTTTTTATTTAAAAAGAAAAAAAAGGACTGATTTGTTACCGATTTTTTCGAACATAATTTGTCCCGCCTCCACGATTCGACCGCCTCAAACCGCATCGCAGGCGAAGACTGATTTTTCAAACATTTAATTTACATCAAAATCGTAAAGGTTTTAGACCACCTCCATCTTGGAGATCGATTAATTGGCCGCCTTGATCAATTTTTAGAACACTGCTATTTACAAAGAGACTATTAATGAGAACCCTTTCTAACATTTTTTAGGGATAATTAGTGAAAACCCCCCAACTCTTTTGCTTATATTATGCTGGATCTAGCCCATTTTGTATTATTAGTCATACCCCCCTCACTTGTCATTTAAGATTAATATTTTAATAAAATCATATACGATAAGACTATTTTACCCCAAAATTATAATTTACTTATATTATTTCAGATTTATTATTTCTCAAATTACCAAACCCTATCACGTTCCAATTGTATCTCTTCTTCTTCTTCTTCTCTCTCTTTTCTCTCTACGCCGCCATCTCTCCCCTTGCATCTCAGCCCCGCTGCTGCCATCTCCATCTTCCACCTCAGCTCCGATGCCGCCAAGTTCTCCCTTCTCCCTCCGTTTGTCGTCGCCTCTCTACTGCTGAAGCCGCTCTTCACGCCGTGATGGTGAAAATTTCACTCCATCTACCCAGCACTCCGATGATGAAACATTCTCAAAAAAAATATCGTCTTCATCGCCGGATCTGGAGATCCCGGTGTCGTTGCCGTTGTCGCCATTGCTATAATTTTCGATATAGTTTTATAAGACGAGAACAAGAACTCATAAATCCCTATCTACCTCTACTCATCGTCTTCGCCGCCAGATCTGGTGATCCAACCGCCACCGCATCTTGCCCCTTCCACCTCTGTCCCGCCGCCGTCTTCTTTTTAATTTCTTTTGATGCTTTTGATGTTGAGTATCTTTCCCAGAAAATAGTTGTTTTTCTATTCTCCTATATTTATAGTTGTTTTCGTTATTCAATTATTTTTTTAGTTGATTTCGTTATTCTGCTATTTGTTTTAGTTGTTTTCGTTATTCAGCTATTTTTAGTCATTTTCGATAGGTTGTTGTAGTTTTTTCGAATAATTGACCGATAATTTAATAGTTTTTTTCTGGATAAAAATGCCAAAAATAATTGAAAATTAAAATTAACAAAAATGAAATAAAAGAATCGAAGTCGATTTCGGAAATACTATAGTTGGTTTCAGAATCTTATAGTTGATTCCCAACAAAAAAACTTAAATTAAAAAAAAATAAAAAATAAAATAAAATGTTTTTTAAATAAAAAATTAAAAGAAAAATATTTTTTTAAAGCTATTATTGTTAGTTTTTAAATAAAATAATAAAAAACGAAAATTTAAATTTATTTAAAAAAACATGGAAAGATTATATTTTGCAGATGGTAGTTTATGGAAAAATTTGAGAAGCAATTTTTTTGGGATATAATCAATCACACACGATTGTAGGGATCTTAAATTTTCGGATTTTATGTGTTTGTCTTCTATAAGGCTATTTTCGGGAATCATTAAAATAGTGGGTTCCTACTAATATTGAAAATATGGCTGGATCCCCCCTTATTAAAAAAATACTAGAGGGGGTTATGACTAATAGTCCCCATTTTTTAATAGGGGATATTTGATAAAACACCCTTATTGTTGACTTCTTGATAAATTCATTTTTTTTAATTATTATTTGCTATAAACCCAATCAACCCAAAATATTTTATATGCCCCAATTAATTATTTTAATAAATAAAAAAATTATGTTGATATATTCAAATCCTTGCCCCTAAGTTATGCCCTCAAACTACGCTTCAAGTTTTATGTCAAAAATAACGCTCTCAAATCAACTCTAAAAATCTCGGTTTTATTTCTTTTCTAATTTTTAATTTTTTCTTTAGAAAAGGTTATTTTTCATTTTTTTTTAATTTCAATTTTTTATTTTTTATACATCTGTTATGTAAAGTTAAATTTAAAAAAAAAATAGTTTTTAACAAATTGAATCCACTATAAACTTACCGAGAACCATTACGTGATTATAGTATTTCATTACGAAAATTCATTATAAACTTATCGAAAATTACTATATAATTAATTAACAAAAATAACTCTGTAATTAATGAAAACCACTCTGTAAATCAGCGAAAATCACTATGTAATTAACAAATTCCATTACAAAAATTCACTAAAAACTTATCAATTAACAAAAACCACTATGTTATTAATGAAAGCACTATGTAGTTACGAAAACCACTATGTAATTAACGAATTCCATTACGAAAATCCACTATAAACTCATCAAAACCACTACATGCCTTTGTGTCTGTATATATAAAATAAACAACCCAAACATTTAAGGAAAGAGAAGAAGAAGATGCAGGCCGAGAGAATCAACATGTGGATATGTCCAGAACCCCAAAATCAATAAACGCTTCATCTGCACCACCACTAACCATGAATCTTTCTTCAACCGCTTCAATTATTTCCTATGCAAGGCCTCCACTGTCATGGGGTGCTAGACCGCCGCTTGAGGGCGGCGCTCTGGCGTTGAAGAGATAGAAAGGGGGCCGCCGGTGGTGCAGAGAAAAAGTTGTGGCTGTCGGCGGTTTGAATGAAAGAGATTAGAGAAGGAGAATTCTCAAGAGAGAAGATGAGAAAAGAAAAAAGAGAGATGGGATAAGAAAATCAAACAGTGGCTAGGATTACACATATATGAAAAAGGTAAAATAGGGTTATTTCTTATTAGGAGTATAAAGTGATAATTAATTATTTTAATTAATATCAGTTTTTGGATTTATGTTAAAAACGAGAAATAAAATTAGGCTCATTGTAATGGCACTTGTTTAATGGGGAGTTTTGTCAATTTTTTCGTTTTTAATAAGGATGAGTCTGACCACTTTTCTCGTATTCTCTTATTAGTGGTAGACTCACACGTTACTTTATTACAAATTTACCACTATTAACTACTCATTACTCACTACTGATGCATTTTTCATTTTATTAGTTTAGTTTTTTTTAATTTTAATTTTTATATTTTTGTTTTTCGGTTTTTTCCATAAATTAACTATAAAATTTTCAGTATCAATTATAAAATTTTCGAAATCAACTACAATTTCGTTTTTTTCCAGAACCAACAATAAAAATATGATAAATAACTACAAAATGTTGGTGCTCATTATAAAATTGGAAATATTTGTACATATATTTTCTTCTTTTTTTTTTTTTTATATTTTTCTATACAAGTATAACATTAAAAATATGCT